TGAGGAGAAGGTTTTCCATTTCCCAAACATCTGTGTTGCCTCTTCCTGACCAGAGGTTGTGCAGCCTAAAGATATTCTTCAATGGAACAGGCATTGTCAATTGAAAATGGCTTTGTCTTACTCGGATCAGGGTCTGGCCCTGGGACACTATTAATCTACTAAAGATGCACTTTCAGATGTTCTTTACAACACACACAGGTCTCTGTGGGGCAGTGAAGGCCCCGTTGTTCCTTGGGGTGGACCCCTACTCTATTGGAAGCAGAGTGCTTACAAGTATTAATTAATGGATTCCACTAATCATTTACCAGCCTCCTTTGTCTGGAAGACAGGAACTTCCCAAACAAAGGGGAATAGGGGATGCTAAAGGTCCTGAAGTGTTCCACTTCACGAGGGGATCTGACCAGAATACAGCCTAGGCTGGCATAGCTGCAACCATCAATGTTGGGGTAGAAATAAGCCACTTTCACTCTCTGTAAGGCAGCTATGTAAAGTAACGCCCTTTCTGAATGGGAGGGGAGGCTTAGCCATGAAAAATAATCCCCCATTTCCCCAGAATCAAGGCTTTCCTTTCTCTGGTACTAGGGTGGACCCATTGCCCTAAAATGAAAAGCAAATGCTCACTCATTTTCAGGTGCAATTCAGAGTCACACGAGCCAGATGTTGTTTGCACCAGTCACACGCTCAGTTGCTCATTTTCCATGTTTTAGGACTCTGCCCACTCTGTTCTGGCTAGCTAGCTGGCAGAGGGAAAGCAATGCCTCTGCACGAGTGGAGCCTTTGATGAAAAGGGTATGAAATAAGACAGGTTCCACTGACGCACAAAACCAGCGGCTCAGAAAGGAGTGCCACCTCCTGGCCTTAAGTGGGTGTGTTATGGGTTGCAGACCCAGCCCCTCCCCCCCTCGACAAAATTAAAATCAGGCTGGGTTGCTAAGAGATGCACTTTAAGCATTGTCTTATCAAAGCTGCAGTGCTACTTTCATCACAGCCTGGCCTCCAGTTTGCAGCTATTTTCTTTCTTTTCCCAAACCTCCTGTAGCTGAGACACTTCCCTCTAATCCCTATCGCCAAACTCATGGTCAGCAGCTTTTAGCCACCTACTGATGTGATGGCCCTTAATGCCGATCGACAGCTGTTAACAGCCAGAGGGTACGTGTTGCGTGACACGGTACTGCCGGCCCAAGGAACAGAGCTGCACAGAGAATCATACCCAGGTGTTCTGCATGACCAAGCATTCCATGAACACAAGCTGTCTAACATACCTCCCACCCCTTCTCCATCACCCACACGTGGGGCCAATCCCTTCACTTAGACCACACTGGAATAACCAGAGCTGTTATCTCGCTAAGTGAGTCACTGGGACACAAGGTTCCAGTGACTAACTGCCAGCTGCTCTGTCACTGTGGCCATGTGACTTGCAAGCCAGGAAACTGAAGTGAACCAGAAAAAAAAAACACGTACTCTACCTATAAAAAAAATCCATCTCCTCCCACCCTTGCCTTTGTGTGCGTCTTCCTCTGCTGCCATTTCTCACTGTAACGGCGTTTAACCCTGTTGAGGTTTGGGTGGGGGGTGCAGTTTGAATGAAAGCTGCTACCCAATTACAGCCCTGACCCTGCAGCTGACAGTGTGCGGCTGGACTGGAGTCTACGGAGTTCCATGCAGGTGCAGCAGTGCATCCCTTTGTCATCAACGGACGAGTCGGGCTCAGGGTCCAATCCTCTCACTAGTACCGCTCAGAAGTAGCCCCAGTTATGATCACTCAGGTGACTTATCTTTCTTAGCCATTTCTAGAGCACCGCTCTTTGTAACACCTACACACTGCATAAGTAAGGCAAGCAGGATCGGTGGCATAGACTTTAAGGTCAGAAGGAACCATCATGATCATCGAGTCTGACCTCTCGCACATCACAGGCCCCAGAACCTGACATCTATTCCTGTAATAGACCCATCACCTCTGGCTGAGTTACTGAAGTCCTCAAATAATGATTTAAAGACATCAAGTTACAGATAATCCACCAGGCTACAGAGGAAGGCGAAAACCCCTCCAGGGTCTCTGTCCAGGGCCGGCTCTAGGATTTTTGTCGCCCCAAGCAAAAACAATTTTGGCCACTCTCCCCCAACCCGTTTTTTTCGTACCCCACCCCCGGCCCCACCTCAACTCCGCCCCTTCCCCAAATCCCCCACCCTGCCTCCTCCCCCCAGGCTCTCAAGCCTAGGAGGGAGGGAGGGAGAGGGAGAAGTAGCGCATGCGCCGCGGCCACTCGGGGTCTCCCCCTCCCTCCCAGGCTCTCAAACCTGGGAGGGAGGGGAGCAGCGGCGCGCGAATCAGCTGTTTCACGCGCCGCGTCCGCTCGGGCTCTCCCCTTCCCTCCCGGGTTTGAGAGCCTGGGAGGAGGGCGAGCAGCGGCGCACAAGCGGCAGCAGCGGAGATG